GATACAAATATTTTTTCCCATTTAGGGAGATCTACCCACATACCTCTTCCCCAGATGTCCTTGTTGCCAATTTTCTGATCATATTCCTTCCAAGTTCCTGATAATCAGTCAAACCATTGGTCATAGCCCATGAATTTGTATATAAAAATGCCTGACTCATTTCTCCTTCCGAGAAAAATAAACAACCAGGTGAACTGTTTGAAGTTCTGCCCATAAGGAGGATTTCCCCTCACCACCATCTTTCAGGGACATCTGATAGAGGTTCTATAGTGCTATAGACTCAGAATAGGTCCAATTCTGAGTGGTTCCTGAATATTATGCAGAACCATCCATAAACCAGGTCAGAATTTTCCCTTCTTCTGTCAACCGATCATGATGAACTTCCCATGAGAACACAGGTGCAGACAGGGAGAGAGAAGGTAGTGTAGCAGGAGTGGAGACCACAGGCATTTAGGCCACTTCATCAGGTAATTTACTTGCATATTCAAGGCCTAATGGGACTTGGGTCTAGTTATAAGTCTAGAAGCAAAGAAGGATGGTGGGGTGAGTCCTGAGGAGAATCAGTAGTGTCTTGCAAGGCAACTGCGTCAGGGGAAGCCATTGCAGTTTTTTTCAGCAAAGCAGGGCTAATCTCAGATGAGGAGGAGTGGCTGCTTTTACTGACAAAGAAGACTTATCAGAATTTAAGGGCTTAATGTCTCCAGCTTCATCAGGATCTTCCCATATGTCTCCATTCCAATTTTCGGAATCTCGTTCTTTACCAGTCAATGCCCTCACTAGGTATCCTGTAAGGTTGGGAATTCAGTTTGCATTGCCCTTCAGTCATTCACAGGATGAGATAACCCTACATTTGGTTATCAGCAATCTCAGTTCCACAGCTACAGGAGATAAGTGTCTCTTTCAAGACAGAGATAGAAGCTTTCAGGTCATTTATGCAGCACTTGAGATGGGAATTCAAATTCCTGACCCCATCCTTTTCTTTCTCCGCTTTGTCAAGTGAAATCAGGAGCAAGAAGCCAGTCTCACTATACTTGTTAGTTTGACAAAAATGTTCAAAAATGTCATATAAATTATCACCTAGAACTGTGTCTCATAAGCATTTGATCATGAGTATTCAATGATGATATTTTGCATATCTCTATTACCACATTATGCCATGAACTATTCACACTCTTTACTATTGCAAATAGAATTATTAACACCTTTACATCAAATAAAATTGGAGAACCAATTTCAGAAACCCCATCCAAAAATAATTCAGAAATCTCGTCCTTAAATATCTGTTCCTCTAGAACCATTATGTAGGAAAAAAAATAGTCTACTTTCCTTCAAACAATTGAAGACACAATCACACAAACTTATGACTCCAGAAGAATGAAGTTCCTCCCAGGAGCAGAGTCAGCCTCCACTAACTCCAGCAATCAATGCATTTTCAGTTAGGTCATCCTCGACAAACTCCATCTAGCGGTTCCCTAAACAAAGTACCATCCTTCTGTCCCTATTCCTTACACCTGCCTAAAATCTACTTACAGGTGCCATCGAATCTTGAAAGGGTTCCTCATCTAATCTCTGACTAAATACAATTTGTTTGCCACATCTCTTATTGATTTATCAAGAATATAATTGGACACACCACCAGATTCTAAGTCTTTTGCTATTTACAAGGTATACATTCTTTAAATCATTCCTGATCTCAAGATGATTCTTGTCATTTTTTGGTCCAAGAACTAACCAAAAAAAGCCAGACAAGTAGAGAGGACTATGAACAGGCTACATCTGTTCATCCCTTATATTCCAGTTTCCATTCACACCTTTCACCTTTGCTCACTAACCGTATGTCACCATTTATTTTCAATATTCCATTCTCCTTCCGATATCATGTGTTTTGACATGTACTACTTTCCTTTTGTTTGAAATCTATTTCTCCTGTCTGTTTATTGCTCCAATATTTTCCGATGCTAACCTACTCCTTTCTTAGGGCAAGGTCTCCTCCTAGAATGCTCCCTCCTAGAATAGATCACATCTTCCTACTGTTCCCTTTCACAGGTCCCTATATTTTCCTTTATAGAATTTGTCATAGCTGTAATAAGTCTATATTTTTTGTTCCTACTAGAAATAAATTCAGATTATCAGCTCCTGTTCAAGGGGAACAGAAAACAGGTTGGAATATTGAGTTCATATCCATGTGCATTAAATCCTATCCTAGCCTGCCTTTTGCTTGGCCATGATGTCACCTGTGCAGTTACCTCTACCCAGGGCACAGAAGCCTATATCTGCAGTGAACTAGCAGGCAACTTGAGAGAAAGGCAAGAGGGTCCTTAAGTGACTATTCCAGGTTCTTGCCCAACCCCCAAGCCACACTCTGACCCAGGCTGCAGCCTCCACCACCACCCCATGCATACCAGTTGAAGACAGGCTTCCTATATACTGGGTTTCTTAATTTTTAAATGTTTATTGTTGTTCTTTTTGTTAGATCCAAAAGTCCATATTTCTCTTGGTAGTTTTAAAGGTTTTACTTTTGGAGTAGAACAAGCATTCTGTGTCTTCACCATCTTGGCACAGGTGGCCATTGGTGGAGCCCATGTCTAGGCACTACCAATTCAGATGCCACTTCACTGACTTTTGTGAGTATCTTAGGACAACTCAACTTTTCTCATGCATACTGGCTTGGAAGGGTCTGTGTGACCCTTGCTAAGATCCCACTTGCCTAAATGGGTGACTCTGCCATTTCTTCATCCGCAGTAATGTTTCTGTTTTACCTGAACCCCTTGAGTACAGGAATCCTAAGGAGAATGATATGCCTCCATGGTCTCGTGCATGTAAACACACCATACTGTCATTTCTTCTTTGGTGTCCACCCACTTTCAGAGGAAGCCTACAAAATAATCCTGGCACACACTCTGTATGATCTACCAGGTGAGCAGGAAATTCTTGCTCTTATTCTTCATGACTTCTGCCAAAGATTTTGTCTACGATATGGATGCTTTATGCTTTTGGATTCAGAACCAGAAACAGACCATTAGTATCTCTAATTTCTTCTATCGCGTCTCCCTTCAAACAAAGAGCATAGAAGGGCATGAGTGAACATAGAATGAGCAATGGTAGTCTAGAAAGAATTACACTGAGGGAGAAAACCCAGTTACCATTTAAAAGTATTACCCAACAAAACATTAGCTTTTAGATATCTAAATTCTACAGTTGTGATGGAAGCATTATTTAATTCATTTTTAAAAGAAAATAGTCAAGATGCTTCTGTCAAGGGGCTTACATTACTACATATGGCAGACATAAATAGAGAGGTTTCTTTTATAAGGTGCTTCCCATAAGTCCTCAACCTGGGGTTTCCATCAACAGGGTCATCATAAAGCATAAAACATCTGTACATAAGAGAAGACACACAAACTCATAACATATTGTGGAATAATGACATTTGCATTTATTGAGCATTTACTGGGGAGCAGGACTCTAAAACTTGCGTTCTTTATGTACATTATCTCATTTTTTTCTTTATTACATGTCCCCATGAGCATGATATTGTTACTGCCATTTCACATATGAGAATACCGAGGCTTGTAAAGTTTAAAAGTCTTCCTCAAGATCACAAACTTAGTGAATGTTAGAGCCAGGATTCAAATCCAGCTTAATTCTAAAACATGAGCATTTAAGAGGCATATAATACTTCCAGCATCAGAGTACAGTTGTTACAATGACTATAATTTATTTTGAAAAATTTCACAATACAGCAATGTTTTTTTGTTTGTTTGTTTGTCTGCTTGTTTTCATTATCTCAGCTTTTGTAAGTTTTCTAATGAGGAATGAAGTGCTTGGTATGGTAAAAGGATATTTTAGTCACTCCCTAGGCAGGAACTTTAAGCAGCTCTCTTCTCCACCTCTCTGTCAACAGGTGGCATTATATGAATTAGATTACTGAATGCTAGAAATGGTAAACTCAGAGGCAAATTAACATCAAAATATGAATGTTAGAAAGGAGTTTTTTATTAATGATGTTGAAGATAATCAAGACATATGATTTTGCTTATATGTGGTATAAAAATTAAGGTAATGGTAATGCTTAGGTGTGTTGGGGCTCAGGGAAGGCCACCCCAAAATATCCCACAATAGCATATTGATTATTTTGAATTAAAGTTACTTGAGAAGCAAAAAGGGCTTTCTGACCCTGCTGTCTCTGTCCTCCCTGAAAGCAGGAAATGAATCTCCTGTGAGAAAGGTTCTCTCCCTGTATCCTTATCACCAGAGCTAGAGAAGTCAGGGCTGAGAAGCTTGCGTAAACAAACCTTGATAATCTACTACCTCAAGCCTAAACTCTGCTTAAATTGCTCACTATTACATACCTCACATCTAAGTTTCTTTGTCTTATCATTCCTCACACATTTCTTGTTTCTTTGTGTAAAAGATAGATATACTGCCTGCTTTATTCACTCTCCGATCATCATTTCTCTATAATCTCCAGTACGTACATAATAAATGTAACAACTGTCTGTCTGATGCATACTAGAAGGAGAGCAGAATCCTGCCTCTGGAACTGTGGCTTTAGGAGAATTCATCTGATAAGGTGAAGATCAGAGCACCACAAAAAATGGCGAGCTGTATTTTCTGAAGCCTGAAGAGCAGGGGATAGAACCTAATTTGAGTACTTGGTTGATGTGAAAGTCTTAGTTAATAAACATCCAGAAGTACGGAACATTGTGTTCTAAGACTTGTTTCCTTACTAAAGAATAACCCCAAGGGTTGTGTTTGACCCAGTGGCTCAGGCCAGATTTCAGTTTAGGCAGAGCCAGGATTCCATCGGAGAACAATAAAATTTCAATCATCTGAGCTTTTCACTTGTTAGAGTGAAGTGTTTAATACTGGGTGGGGTGGGAGCAGTAGAGATGGTGAGGGTATCTGAATGTGTGCTATTATTTCTGAGAAAATCAGCAGAATGAAGGTCCTGTTTTAAAAAGTAAGAATGAAATTAAAATATATTGTTTTGTCTGATTTTGAAAACAACTAACCAGAAAAAAAGAACAAACATCTATTTTTCTTCAGAAAAGGAACGACATAACCACCAAAACTGATGACATCATGAGGACGCAGGTATCCCAGGAACAGAGTCAGCTTCCAGAACCTTCAGGGACCAGCACATGCCCAACTGAGAACCTTCCCCAGACTCCTCAGATGCCTCTACCAACCCCATCCAGCAGTTCCTTAACCAAGGTACCAGGTTCCTGTTCCCTATATTTTCTTCCCTATGATATAATAACAGAGATCAACAGAACCTTGAAAGAGCTATTCACTAACCTCCAACTATATACAATTCTATATTTATTTAAATCACTCATTTATTTATCAAGTGTATATTTTGAGATGCTTAGCTATATGCGAATTCCGACTCTTCCTCTGCCACCATCTGCATTAGGTAGTCTATGACCTCATGGGCAGCTAATCATCCCTATTCTGTGCTGAGTATAATTAGTCATTTGTTTGCTTTTTGTTTCCCTCAATATGCAGTAAAAGACACAGCCTAGGGTGAAATAGGGTGGGGAAATATAGAGCCAACCAAAGCACTATCACCAATTCTTTCTCTTTCATTTTTATTGCGTAAATAATATCATCTTAGAAAATTTAGGAAATGTAGATGCGTAGACAAAAATAATTAAATTTTAACTATCAGAAATCTATACTCTATCAAATGCCACATTTCGGTAAAGTCTTTCTGATTTTTGTTATACATATATATATATATACACAAAGAGTATCATTTTGTTCCAGGTTGGATCACATTACACATATTTTTCTATAACTCAGGTTTTTTTTTCACTTACTATATCTTGAAATGTTATTTCAATCAACAGTACAGATTTAAATTATTATTTAAATATACAAGAATAATTGCATGGCTATTTAATAAATTAGAAAAATAATCTTGTATCATTTGACTTTAGGTTATTTCTAGTATTCCCTATACCCTGCAATGAACATAATAAGAACGTGTGTCCATCAGGTCTTCTTTCATGACCCTCAGAGTAAATACATAATTTCCTCCTTAAGTCCTGTGCACTTCTCGTCAGGGTGCTGCTGTTGTTATTATCGTGAGGTTTCTTGTTACTGACTAGTTTGCACTGGGAATGAACTTCGTGATGTTAGGGTGAAATGGCCACATTGATGGGAAGTCAATCAGAGTTAAGCTTCATCACCCAATGGACTGTAATTTCCCAGGTCAGACCACAAGAAGCACTGCTGGTCTGTGGAGGCAGCTAGTCTGTTTCCATGTGCTATTCCCTAGGACTGCCATGCCCACCCTTGCTTTCATATTTCCTCTTACAGATCAGTAGTCTCTCCTCCAATTCAAAGTGATCTCCTGAAACTCAGAAATGGTGCAGATCACTGAGTGATTTCTCCAGGAGGTCAGCAAAAATCCCCTAATATCTGGCTTCTCCATTGACATGCTTCTCCTAAAGGAGAAGCTTCTCCTAATGGAGCCCCTTCTCCTAAAGGGCTTCTCCTAAGCCTCTATCCAGGATACTTGCCATTATTTCAACAGGAGAAGATGGAGGAGGAAAAATAATTTCCCCTTTACCCTTCTGATTTCTTGGCTGAGACTCCTGTAATAAAGGACAGATTAACAAGAGAAAAACAAGAAGAAGTTTATTAACATGTATACCATGTATACATGAGAGATACCCAGGATAAATGAGTAACTCCTTGAGGTGGCCTCAGCCATCAGCTCAAATATCATCTTCAGCTAAAGTCAAAAAAAAGAAAGATGGGAGAAGGCCAGTTATGAGGAGGTTACCAGGGAAAAGCAGGATAAAGAAGGGTAATATTTGTTATTCTGATTTAAGTCAGTTTCTCCTCCATTGATAAGATTCTTTTGTCATTTATTTAGAATCATCCTTCTCTTCCTGGTACAGAGGGAGACACCCTTACAAATGGAGCTTTCCTTTATAGCTGTAAATTTCCCTTATAAAGGGACAAATTCTATGCTGTTTTTAGAGCTTCTCTTGTGTCTGTTGGTTTTCAAAATAATCCTGTGCTGAGAAGGTATGTTTTGGGGTGGGTGATTCCACTACTCTTCAAAAGTGTCTATCCAGGACATCTCTAAATTAGGGAAGTTACTGGGGTTCTTCCAGGGACTGTCTTCCTAACCCCTTTCAACACAGTACTGTTTTCTTGGAAATGGGCTCCCTTTAAATTGCCACGTCTACTGGGATTAATTCCAGATGAAATCAATGGTTTCTGACTGGAGCCATTCTTGACGCTCAGTGATATTACGGATGACTTATTTTCTTCCCTGTTTATATCTTACTTTGCTCACTAAAATGAGTTGACAGGATAAATTAAGACTATTTTTTCATCTTTATCCCTATTCGTAATCACTACACAACAACATTGCTATTGCTCACTGCCCCTATACTCTAATAGGATAAATACTTTTCTTGTTGAATTAATCCTTCTTAAATAAAAATATACTTCCTACAAAAGTAATAAAACAATGACGATAAGAAATAATATTGCTGTTTAAATCTTCTCCATTTTTTCCATTAGCTAAATTATGCCATGTCAGCCATATTTGTTTAGTTTTTTTCCAAGTTCACCCAATTAGGGTGTTCATTGAGGCTCAACATCAAGCCTGAGAAGGTTCTCACTAGAGAGTAAGTCTTTATTTCCTTTCTAAATTGTGCCTGGTTTTGGTGTGTACTTCTAAGTAGAAACCAAGATTGAAGGCTGTACCTAAAGAAGCTTCAAGGGAAGAAGGTTTCCAGAGCGGCCCCAAAGAAGTGATGGTACTGAAAGCAACAGTACAATTTGCATATGCCGTCAGTGAAGGAGAGAGAAAGATGTTTCATGCCACAGTGGCTACTGAGAACGAATTCTTCCAAGTGAAGGTTTTTGCTGTCAGCCTGAAGGGGAAGTTCATCCCAAAGAAAGTCATCGCCATATCAGATTATATTGGGTGCAATGGGTTCCTGGAGATCTACAATGCCTCATCTGTGTCTGATGTTAATGCTGACCGAAAGATGGAGGTCTCAAAGAGACTCATTAAAAATTCAAATGCAACTCCTAAAATCATTCATCTGTACTCGTAAGCTCCAGGAACATTTGTGAATGGAGTGTATCAGGTGCATAAGGTAAGCCCACACTACTATTTTGTAATATTTCTCTCACAACCTCAGAGTTTGAGTCTTAACTTGCCATTTTGAGTTTGGTTAAAGTCCTAAACACAGGAACTCAAAGTCCCCCTGACTACTTCAGCGTATGGGAGAGACAATCTCTGAACATTCCTCTTCCCAAGGTAACAACATGCAAGTTCTTTAGAAAGAGATTCCTTAGAAACCTTGGCATTTTATCAGCTATGATGACCCATTAACAGCTGCCCTGGTCCAGAACAGTGCAGAGTTTATGTCAATAGACATATCTTTCTGATTTTGTTTCTTTGAGTTCTGCCTCATCTGTTTCAGTGACAGATTAACTTAATTGTGAATAAACAATTGCCCTCTCAAGCTTGGATTCCAGTTGTGATAACCAGACTAAGACATCAATAGACTACTCTGCCCTAGAATGCAGCTGTTTCCAACAGACAGCTAAAATGCCCTTTCCTCTTCACATTCATTCATCAAAAAATTGTTGAGCAACTGACTTTGGCATTAACTAATAAGAGAGATATAGATGTTGAAAAGAATAGAGTAATCATGTAGTTTAACACTTCAATTTATAAACATGGACAATAAAATGCAGAATTTTTGTGAATTCTTATAATCAGTGTAGGTATTTCAACCCAAAACATCATAGAAATACTAAGCTTAGCTGACCTAAATTTTTATATGAAACATTGTTTCATACTCCATTATATATGTCTTCTAGGGTGGCTCTTTACTTTTACTCCTGTTGTTTTGTGTACATTCTGTTTAAACGACTGTGCACACCTATGCGTTTATATAATTAATGAGTAAAGTAAGTGAGATAGAAACAAGAATAATGGGACTAGATGATCTAGATTCAAGATTTGGGCAGATTGGAAAGGAATGAATAAATAGAAAAGACAGAAGAAAGAATTACATGTTGATATAACAATCTACTTAATTAGGACTTGCAACACTCTTTCTCAAACTCATAATGAAGCATAAATGGCCTTCCTTCTCTATTCTCAGACAGGTGCCAAGAAACCTGTAAAAGTTATCAGACCTCAATGCAGTCATGTGTTACTTAAAGATGGGGATACATTCTGAGAAAGCATCCTTAGGCAATTTTGTTGATGTGGGAATATCATAGAGTGTGCTTACACAAACCTAGATGGTATAGCTAGGTTACGTGGTAAATCTTATGGGACCACCGTCTTTGACGGAAACGTCATTGTGCAGCACATGACTATATATCCAAGTTTCTTAAGAAATGTCAGCTATTCTGAGGTGGAAGCAGGAAAAATCAGGAAAGTAATCAATTCTTTCAGAAGAACCCAGCAGACAAAACCTAAAAGAAGGAAACCTAGACAGAGGATTCAAAAGGGAGAATTCTCTGAATAAGATGTGTTAAGCTATTTGGTACCTGTAATTCTGGACCTATAGCTCATAGTAACAAGTCAGACAAAAGTTTCACTAACATTCTATATTTCTCATAGATGTGAATATTCCTGATCCAGTTCTCAGAGGATGAATGTGATTTTTCTTTTGCAGAAAACAGTTAAGATTCAATTCATTTATTATGAAATAAAAGATAATACAGGGAAGATGGAAGTCGTGATGTATGGATGACTGGCCCAAATCAACTGTGAGGAAGGAGATAAACTTCAATTCATCTGCTTTGAATTGGCATTAAGTGAAAATAAGAGGAAGCTGAGATCTGTAATTCACAGTTTCATCAAGATGGGAACTTCTGGGAAACATCATTCTTCCAAAGTAGCAGACTTTAAAAAGAACAGACTGCTGCTATTACACCGAGTTGAGCATGTGGAAAACTGATCCTTTTACTTTAGTGAGTGTAAACATTCTTTCTTTCCATCAGTCTTTCTGTTTTAAAGAAGGATATTTTTAATCATATTAAAGAGAGAAACTTCAGATAGGCATTCAAAGAATATTATACCTATGATAAATATATAGAATTGGTTGCATTTATCAAAGCAGAGAGATTATTTAGCAACTTTGGGCTGCTTTAAGGCAGATTTGTTTCAAATACTGGTTCTGTGATTTGCTAGTTGACTAATGAACTTAAACATTAGGAACCTCAGGTTAGTCAATTATAAAATGGGGGAAATATCTTCAATCTCAGAGGATGGTTACCAGAGATCATACCAGATTAAATGATCAAGGATGCCCCTGAGTGTCTCAGAAGACAAAATTACCTGTGTTTTGTGAGATACACATGCTGATCAATAACAAACAGAGGTGGTTAGTTCTATATGATAAGGTACATAATCCTTATCACACTCATGTGGATACATCCATGTGGGATTCTTGGGACACTAACAAAGGCTAATACTGGAATGCAAACAGATCAAGTACAAAGGCTGACATGTCCAGGTGCTCGGAAATGCACTTGGTCTTAGATCTTTCCAGTTCTCACGACCATCAATCAAACATTCCAACCCTTCCCTCACAACATTGCACCAGAAATATCTTTTGCAACTTCCTCCCACTTTTCTTCTCAGTGAGAACTTTCCCCTCAACTCTTGACATTGAGTACACCTGCTCCTTCCTCTCCCCTTTATTCCCCACAGCTCCTGCTTGTCCACATGTACTCATGCTGGGTGTGAGTGAATATCTCATTTCCGGGTCCCAACCAAGAGGAGGGGGTAATGATTCAAATAGACGGGACATCATTAAAGGAGATAGAAGAGAGTGAGAGAAAAGCCTTTTAGAAAGGAAGAGAGAATGGGATACAGCCTGCGGCAAAGAAACACAGTGTGAGTGAAGGGAGAACTGTATGATCAGGTGCATCTCAACTGGTCTATCTTTATCTCTTTCTTCTTCAAGGTCATCAAGGCCAGGAAAAGCAAGAAACAACTGCTCAATCCTGATTCATATATGAAAACCTCTCTAGAGTTCTCCTTCTAAAAACCTGGGTGCCATTAATAATGATGTTTATGGAGACAAGATCTAAACACAGAAAAAAATATATGTATATACATGGTTGAAATACAGCGATATACATACCAGCTATTAAGTCTTGGGAATGGTGTGTTACAGGTGCTTGTTACTTTCTTTTTTATATTTTTCTCTACCAGCTCAATGCCATAATTTACATCTATAAAATTCATAATTTAAAAAAAATAATAAACATTGTTTTTTTTTTTTTTTCCCTAAAGGAGTGTTTCTCCAGGAGTCTAATTCATTGGTGAATTGCTTAAAAGTAAATGGTCTGTGGCCTACAAATCAGGGTGGGGCACACAGGCCCCAAGAAATATTTGGATTTATACTTTGGGTGTTATCTTTACAGGGTAAGGTTCTGGTCAAAAATGGACAGGTTGAACAGGCTCTGCTCTGCTCAAAGAAACCCAGCGAGAGGGCAGACAGGGGCTGAAATCCAGTTTGTGCTTCAATTGCCCAGCTCTGTGTCCTAGGAGGGGTGGCTTTAGCCCAGAACAATGAATATCTTTTCAGAATTGATCTCTTGGAGCAGGCATAGCTAGTTAATTTGTCTGCCAAATGAGGCAGCTTCTGGTGATTTGCACAAAGACACTAGTATATGTTGAAAGCAGTTCTAGCCCTGTCTGATGTGAAATAACCAGTTCCATTCACTAAGTAGAGTACCAACAGCTCAGTAGCTCTCCAAAAATATTTCCTGGTTCTCACATTTCACATATGTGGATTCCATCAGGAAGTTGCGCCAAGCAAAGACCTGCATTAGGCAAACGCTGAGGAATAATTAACTCACTTTAGGGTACAATGGCAGAAATTAGATATCTAAAACTGTAATTTATAGTATATTTAATAATCACATATTCGATACCTGGTGTTTTGCAATTATTTTGTATCACTTAATCTTCACACTAGCTCCAGAGGGTTGATAGGGCTCTCCTTTTTATTTTCCTAATGAGAAAAACAAGTAACAGAGAAGCAAAATCTGTTTCCTAATGATACTTAGATTGTAAATTATAGTCCTTCATTTAGAATCTACGCTACTATTTTGATTTGGGGTAAATGTGTTATGGGGAGGGGAATGTGGATGAGGTGGAAGCTGTGAAGGATAGATTGGAAATCTCCCACTGTAAGGTCCAAGGCTATTTATGCACAATTAATCTAAGGAAAAAAAGCATTAAATTTCTGTCTTTATGGTTGGGGCCAAAGATCCAAGGAATAATAATGAGTTGCTTTCCCTTGCACTGCCTCCTTTCTGGTTATGTGTCTTATATTATGGTAGGGTTAGATGCCAAGAATAAAATTTAGACCTTTTTTTATTTTCTTGCCCAATATCATTCTAATAACATTCATATATATATATAGACATTTTTTTCAAGATAATGTTGGGAAACCAGGTTTTGAAGGAACTTTAGAAGTTACTATATCTAGTTTTCTCGTTGCAGATGAGACAGATTGAGTGAAGCGCTCAAGATCAGAACATCACTCAGCTAGTTAGGGAACAGATTTCATCCTGAGATGTCACAGACTGCTAAAACTTCCTCCAAATAAAATTTGACTTATGAACACTGAGGAAAATGACTGCTTCATACACAAATGAAATCTGCATTCTGAGTTATTCTAAAACATCATATTCTTATCACTTTATGTAAACTTCCTGTATTTGGCTATTCTTGAATATGTAGATGATGGTAATTAGGAATTAGAGAATGAGTCATTTCAGGGACCTGTCCAATCAATGTCTTTGCTACCCCTAATGTCACGCCGATTCCCCTTTGAACTTGTAACTTCCAAGGACATTGTGTCTCTAAATGAGAGAAGAAAGAAATGACCCTCTATCCTAAAGAGTTTGCCTCTTTGATTTTGTTTTCACTTAAATAGCTTCATCTTCATTCTATAATGCCGTGACCCTACTCATCTTATATTTTTGCACCTTGCCACATATTGGAGCTCCTCCTTGGGACCAACATCAAGTAAGTAAAAAGCTGGGGCTTCCCCTAGATTTGAAGTGTGTAGACAAAAGAGAAGGTCACAACAGCACATAAAAATTCTTACCT